TCTAATAAATGCAACAAGATCAAACTTTGCAGTCACATGAAATCGACAGACCAACTCTGATGATTTGTCTCATAATTTTGGACACCCAAATAAAAATGTTGTTTAACAAACGATCATTATGTTGTTGTTACTTTTCACTATTTCTTACGAGGGGGGACCACTGGCTGGTAGAACAGCCATGTGTGCGAGTTGTATGTGTGGAATTGAAATTTCACTGCACACGCTTGTTGATTACCTGACTGTTCTACAACAAAATAATGACCGTTTGTTAAACAACTTTTTTTATTTGACTGTCTAAAATTATGAATCTGTCTAGACCACTTAACTAACCTAATTTATGTGGCTTGTCGAAATGTGTACCTACATTGCACTTCTTTGTCTACCTGTGAAGGTCCGGGTTAGAATGAGCCTTCAGTAACCCATGCTTGTTGTAAGAGGCTACGAACGGGATCGGGTGGTCAGGCTCGCTGGCTTGGTTGACACATGTCATCGGTTCCCAATTGCGCAGATCAATGCTCATGCTGTTGATCACTGGATTGTCTACTCCAGACTCGATTATTTACAGACCGTCGCCAAAAAGCTGGAATATTGCTGAGTGCGGCGTCAAACTGCTCACTCACTCACTTCTTTGTCTGGCCACTCACAAACAAGTAAGTTGAGCAAATACAGCTTTGAGTCTGGGATTCAGGTTGATTGTGGGCATGAAGGTGCATAACTCAATACTGAGAATAATACAATCTAGTGATTTATTTTATATTCTACATGAATTGTTCAAGAGATCAAGCAATTTGATTCAGCATCTCCGTAACATATGAACCCAGGACATATGAGCCCATCCCTTTTAGTTTTAGCGCATCAACACCTCAGCATCCTTAGCAAACAGTCATCTGATTGGCAAAAACATCATTGGTATGCGTTCATCCATGTTCTCAGATTGATCTACATTTATTTATTGCAAATTGAATGTACACCCATTTTCAGAAGCATTGCACTAAGCTCCTACTTCAGTAACAAGAGACAATATTACCGGTAACTGAACAGGTAACTGAACAAGATATTAATTAACTTATCAGGTGGCTTGAACTATAGTGATGGTGACCCTGAACACCAAGGGCTTTTCAATGGTTTGACAGAGATACCCCTGGTCTCATAGTCTGTATATTTGAATAAATTTTGAGTATCATGCTTGGTGAGAATGCTATTCCAAGCAAAACTTAACAGCAACAGAAAATATTCTGAGTAAAGGAAGTCCAATAATTTGAAGGGCTAACTTGAATATTTGAGATGTGGTTGGGTGAGGTGATTTGACTGGACGGTGTTTGCAATAGTTTTTCACTAAACGGTACATCAAATTGTAAATGATTTCATGACAGTTTCCCCCAAAGACATGTAATACCATGGGATATAAAGTCATCTCTGTGTCAGTCACAAATCTTTTCATTTCCTGAGCCAAATTTTAAGACGCTTGATTAATAAGCCTGCACCACCTACTATTAAAGCATTTGAAATACTTAAAGTATTTGTGCTTCAGTAATTTCAGCTTCAAAAATACCAATATTATAAAAAAAAAATACTGGCAGTGAAAAAGACACTGGAACCTTTCTAGAGCTTATAACACGTATCCTACCCCTCGTGAAAATCCAGTTTAGAATTGATCTTCCGTAATCCATGCTTGTCATAAGAGGCGACTAACGGGATCATGTGGTCTTGTTCGATGACTTGGCTGATGTGTCATTGTATCCCAATTGTGTATATCAATTTTCATGCTGTTGATTGTCTGGTCGAGACTTGATTGTTTACAGACGGCCGCCATATAGCTGGAAAATTGCTGACTGCGACGTAAAACGACACTCACTCACTACAAGGAGCCTAAGTTAATGATTTTTCTAATTTAAGAAAAAGACTGGTGTGTTTTTCATTATAACTATGCGTTATATACTAGGCACATAAAGAAACTTTTGTTTCTCATGCATTCCGGGAAAGAGAAACAGAGCAAATGAATGCCACACAATACTGTCAATTGGAAAGCTCAACCCTGCCCTTGCGATCGTTCAATAAATTAAACGGCTATTGAAACGCATAGCATGCCAAGGCTCATGTCTGCACAACGTCATGGGGCCATTGGGATGGTCCGTGGGGGAATGTCTCAATGACAAGTGGCTGCAGATTTCCACTGCCACCAGAACACCATTTCTGCACTGGTGAGACGCTACCAGAACACAAATTATGTCGTCGATCGGCCACGTTCTGTGTAACAACGCCAAGACAGGACAGATGGATTAGGGTGACCCATCTGCGCCACAGGTTTCAGACTGCAGTGAAGACTGCCCGAACCATCCCAGGACTTCACCATATCCACCCCAACTCAGTTTGACAAAGTTTAAGTCATCACGGGATCAGACCACAACGTCCCGCCATACAGCCTATCCTGACACGTCATCGACAAGCTCGCCGAATGTGGTGCAGAAATCATGTCCGCAGACCCTTGTTTTGGTGGAGAAATGTTGTTTTTACAGTAGAGTCCAGGTTTAACATTTCCCATAGTGATGGACGTCAACGTGCCTATGGACGTGTGGGAGAACGCGCCTGAGTCTTGGAGAGGAATCGCTTTGGAGGTGATTCCGTGATGATTTGGGGTGGAATAACAGCACGCCAAAGAACCCCTTTGGTGATTGTTCAGGGCAACAGGGATCAGATTCTTCGACCTGTGGCAATTCCTTTTCTGCAACGTTATGGCCCTGGGTTAACATTCCAACAAGACAATGCCCGCCCTTATACGGCAAGGGTTGCTATGGATTTCTTGCAACACCACAACGTTGACTTACTGCCTTGGCCTGCAAATTCACCGAATCTCTCCCCGATAGAGCATGTTTGGGACGAGATGGATCGACGTCTATACCGTCTTCCTCATCCGCCAGATAACGTCCTTGACCTTGCAACAGAACTTGAGAGAATCTGGCTTGACATCCCACAAGCCTTTCTGGCATGTTTGACAGGCTCTATGTGTCGTCATTGCACTGCTGTTCTCAATGCCGATGGTGGACATACTCGTTATTGAGCTTGTGACATGGTTGATTGACCCCTGTCCCGCTTATGGACTCGTGACATCATTGTGATTGACTTTTCAATTGAAATTCTCCCGACTTGTTATGGTCTCATGATCCCTCCATTAAAGTTTATATGTACCTTTGACATTGTTATCGTAATTATCAACTGGGATGATATTTTGACAATGCACAGTTTCTTTATGTGGCCAGTATATATCCAGTTTATGTGAATCAATTTCAAGTTTTTCATGTAGATTTCAGTCCGTTTATAAAATGTTGCTGAGATTTCATTCAGATAAAACAGTACCAGTTATACTATAAATATTTTCTATGGTTCAATCAATTTTGCTCACAAAATAGTACCATGCCGTCAAATGATTCTGTGATACTTCCGTTTCCGTGGTATTTTCTAATGACACAATTTCTCACAAGCCACCCACCAAATTGCACCACCTATCGATTGTTTACGTTCACCAGTCGATCGGCACGGCTCTGAGCAAAACATGTTCAGACTTTCATCAATTTGCGTACGTACAGTCATCAACTATTAAATACTAATGCAACTTTATGTCCAGCACGTAATGCACGTTTTGTGCGATCTTTACGAACATTTTCTAAAAACTTATTCAGCTTCCAAGTTTTCCAAACATCGCTCCCGATTGTCTGCTAGCTGATGTCATCAATAAAAACAATACCGTGACCTGAGGGGGGCTTCCCAGCTCTATTTTTAAACTATGGAAGCCCTTTAGGGTCATCTCTTAAGTTGTTTTTTCACTGTTCATTTCACATATCCCGTTGATCAACTCTACATATATTATGAACTGGAAATTTATGTTGAAGAAATGTCACTATTGTGTTAATTACTACAAACTCGTTTACTGTATTACAATTTATCAACTTCGTTATTACTGTAAACCGACACTGACACTCCCGGATTGGCTGTTGACAACGTGTGAGATTGTGACATGTGCTGTGCGCCCGTAATTTGATCTGCAGGAAATACCACGGAAACATATGACGTCACCAGAGTGTGTGCACAATGGCCGCCTGTCGTCCAATACGGACAATGAACTTCAGAATGACAAAAGTGTTTTATTAACATTAGATGAGACAAAGGTATGTCATCAAACACTATGTTCTGTTTATATGACTTGGCAATATAAGCGATGATATTCATACTATTCATAGTCGTAAATTTCTTAATACCACGGAAACCCATGACACGAGGGTACATTTGTATGTAGTTGCCAGTAAAATTGAAAGAGAACAGGCTTATCCTTCAATCACCTTTTGAAACTGTTTGAATATTTATAGCATAGAAAATATAAATGGTATCATATTTTCCTAATCTATTAATCTCGCATGTTTCTTCAAGTTCTGTTAAATCGTGATACAGAATGTCCCATTTATCATGCACCTAGGTGTCACTGGTGTGTAGTCTTACATGACCGCAATGCATATAGTTCTGTGGGCTAATTATGGGAGCTGAATAACTTCAGTCCTCCTCCTCATCTCTTTTAACGGTAGCTGTTAGTTGTCTTTTTAATCCTTTATCTATTAGGCTACCTATAACCTCATCTAGTAAGAGGTTTATAAAAGATAGAACCTTTGCGAGATCAATCTATTGTAAACAAAGGGGAGATAACATGTATTGATGATGTCGTAATGATTCTGTTAAGTATTGCTCTTATTGTTTATGAAGATTGTTTATTTGTGGGATAAGTGCACGTTTACGACGCATTGCAGCTTTTATTTTATGCCATTTTCCAACTTGTAAAGCCCGCTCCCGTGACGTCATTAGGAAGCCTTATGGCAGTAACTGTTCGGCAGCCAGTCAGCTTCGCGATAACTGCTCGCAGCCAGAGAGAAACGCAGAAGTTTGTTTAAACCAGCTCATAACTAGCTACATCATCACCAAACGAACACCTACTCAAGCAGACTGAAATAACCTACCTTTCACACAATTCACGATAAGATCTATTGCAGCTGATGCGGCCGATGCGTTCGTCGCTGTGGAAGACGCTGTAGATTTTCCCCTGCTATGATTTAGCTTTCGAGTGGTGTCCCTTTGTTGGGTTAACATAAAAAACGGCACCTCACCAAAACGGCAGTAATTTCACAACAAGGACAGATGGAAATAACAGTGTTGTTATGTGGGTGGCAGGGGACATAACTCTGAATGTCTAGGTTTGTTAAAATTTTTGGATGTCTTACGTTTGAATATCTTCTACACCCCATACAGTGTTTCGCCTAAAATCATGCTGTATTATTTGTTATTCCTTAAAACTTGATGTATTGTTTTTTAATTTAAAAACTGGCAATCATTCTGCATTAGTTCTTCCAAAAATATTAGCATCTATTTCTTGATCTATTGTTTTTTTTAATTTAAAAACTTACAATCATCCTGCTTTAGTAATTCCAAGATGTTCTTAACTAGTTCTCCAAAAACGTCTTTGAACAATGGTGCCAACACGGAAATTTGGAAAGTCCAAATTTTGAGGTGCTGTTGAAGACATCTTGAAAGTTGTGGAAGCAAAAAAGTACCGATTATTTACACGTATTAATACGCAGTGAAACCTGGAATCACCATTCGATCACGTTTTTAGACCAATCAGATTAAAGAACACAGTGACTTTTGGTTTAATATATAACAAGTTTTATGGATAACAACTTCTTTATTTTCGTGAGTGCGACGTTTCGATACAGATTCTTGTACCGTTGTCAAGCAAGAGTGATACATGAAGTGTAGGAGCTGCATATATATACTGTATATAACAATGAAACAACATAATAGACAAAGGAAACAACATAATTGCCATGATTGGCTAAGCAGTAAGCTGATGAAGCCAGTAAGTACATAAAGGATAGTGAGTGGAAGCCAGAGATGTAGTTACAATGAGATGTTTATACAATGGATGCGATGTTTATACAATAGACTGGGCTTGGTGGAGGAGTGGATCATAAGCAGACAAGCCTACCATCAACCGTGACCAAGGATACTTCATTCCATCTGCTTATGATCCACTCCTCCACCAAGCCCAGTCTATTGTATAAACATCGCATCCATTGTATAAACATGACATTGTAACTACATCTCTGGCTTCCACTCATTATCCTTTATGTACTTACTGGCTTCATCAGCTTACTGCTTAGCCAATCATGGCAATTATGTTGTTTCCTTTGTCTATTATGTTGTTTCATTGTTATATACAGTATATATATGCAGCTCCTACACTTCATGTATCACTCTTGCTTGACAACGGTACAAGAATCTGTATCGAAACGTCGCACTCACGAAAATAAAGAAGTTGTTATCCATAAAACTTGTTATATATTGTACGTCTCAACTTCTAAAATGCCACTCAAACAAACTTTTGGTTTACATTTTGCTGAAACCTGAACCTTGCACAGAGCGAAGTCGGTTACTACTGCGAGGCTAAAACGGTACCTTTTAACCATGTTTAATAAAAAAAAAGAATTAAATGAACTCACAGGTTCATGTAGAAACACTAATAATTGTGAAATGCTTTGAAGCTTGAAGTTTAATTCTGCAGTGAAAATGTGACAGAAGATTGCCATGAAAGTGTCCGTATCCTCCTAATAATTAATATCATTATAGATCCTCTTGATTTGCGGGGACGAATTAGCCTTGTATGGTCTGTTTGGGTCAAAATGATACCGGTGAATCACAACTCCAAATCGTAATTTCACGATCAAACATTCATTTCAACGCAGAATGTAATGAAAACATCAGACCAACTCTGGAACAAAGTTTCATAACGTTTGTCTCCACCATACAAAAGTTGCTGAAAAAACTACATGTATCATCATTTTGTGACAAACTAATATAATTTTGTTTTGATTTTCCGTGTGAAGTTTTAGGAGGGTAAAGAAACAGTGGTACTGTTGCAGGAATAGCCTCAATGGCGGGAAGCACGTGCAGCCGAGGATGTCAACGTTTAGGGGTTGTATCAAAACTCTTCCGGACTGGAATCTGATGAAATTCCTGATTCACTTTCACTTCTCAGATTGTGTACTTATGATGACTGGTTGAATGGCGGCATAATCTAAAACACTTTTTTATCCAGTACTGATTCTCTATTTCATTTTACTTATGGTTTTGTGTACTTCGTTTTGGGTGTCTGAAAGTTTGAGCGTGGTATTGTTGCGTTAAGTGCTGTTGAAATGAGATCGCAATGATAAGGCAGTAAACGTAAAGTGTCATGGCTTAGAGATATTGATCTACCTTCTAGCTTGGTGTTGTTTTGTTGCGCTTTATTGTGTCATAGAAAACTAGTTTAGTTATTTTTCTAGCCATGTTACCACACCACCTTTTCTGCTTTTGGATGTTGGAGCTTTGCATCTGAAACCTGACCACTATGATATGGTGCGTTGTCCATAACAAAACAGAATGTTTGATGAAGTGCTGGTACCAGCTGCTTTTTCACTCAATTCAAGAAAACCTCCCCATTCATAAACACATAAATAGCCAATTTGCATGTCAGTTTCGTTTGTTTTGTTTGTTGTTTAACGCGGCACTCAGCAATATTCGGCCATCTGTAAACAACCGAGTCTGGACCAGACATCCAGACATTGTCACAATCCAGTGGTCAACAGCATGAGCACCGTTCTAAATAGATGGAAAAAACCCAACACAGAACCCATTTCACTACATGCGACATGTACTAAGGCACCGTACATAATCTATGGCTTGGCATGAGTCTTATGGACAAGCATGTACAATGTGAATGACCCCCCACCTAAAAGTTATGCTAAAAGCAAGTGACACCCTCCTCCCTAGCCTTCTCTCGCTCATACACACACACACACACACACACACACACACACACACACACACACATCCCGAACCGATGTTAGGTTCACCTGTTAGATATCGATGTCAGGTTCACCTGTTAGATATCGATGTCAGGTTCACCTGTTAGATATCAATGTCAGGTTCACCTGTTAGATATCGATGTCACAGGTTCACCTGTTAGATATCGATGTCAGGTTCACCTGTTAGATATCGATGTCAGGTTCACCTGTTAGATATCGATGTCAGGTTCACCTGTTAGATATCGATGTCAGGTTCACCTGTTAGACATCACGTGTTAGGTTACAAGGACAGGTGATCGTGACTTTCAGGTTACGAAAATGTAATTTCATTTATGGCTGCATTTTTTTTCTATGTCATAGTTTATTTCAGTACAACAATATAAATAAAAATGTATTTAGGGAAATGCAGTGATGATTTAAAGAAAACATATGTTGTATCAAATTATACTCACTACTCTGACATGATCCTGCTCTTGCTTACTTCAAGCTCTCCAATGGTGTGGTGGGATCACTCCCAAAAGACAGACCTCCCATAAAACAGACTCAATGGGTACAATAATTAGCTGAGCCAGGCTGTCCACCCCTATTTAATTAATGACCTGGCCTAAGAAGAGCAGAGTATGTCCCATCCCAGAAAGGTACTTCTAGAGGTTGTAGGAATAAAATTCATAGGAAAACATCATTGATTTGGGGAGGAAATAGACTAACTAGTCTCTGAAATGAACATATTTTATTGAAATATGTTCATAGTAAAGAAAAATATAATATAATGAAAAGGAGCCCTGAGACTTTCTTCATTTTCAGAAGCTGAGGAAATCTAGACTTGCCACATTTTCTAGACTTGCATGGGCTTTCTTGGATATATTTGCTTCAGGGTCTGTACGAGAGACTAGGGAGGAAAATAAGTCATATGCTCAAAAATGAATTGATAAAACTATAGTTCATACCTAATGTTGTCTTTTTTCATCAGGGCTCATACCACTGTTATCAAGGGTACAGCTTATTTAAGCCTTATGCAACCAACCATAAAATGTGTTGTTTTAAGCTGTCTGTCTTTTGGGAGGTCTGTCTTATGGGCCGTTTTGTTGTCAGCTGGCTGGACAATTGTAATTGAGCCAAAGCTCATTTTAAGTTTATTTGCAGAATACTAATATGTATGATCAAGGAATCCAGATACATTGGAAGCCTTTAAACCAAAAGAGTTCCTGGAACCGTTTTTCTTAATGCCAAGTGTCACTGTCAAACATCATCAGTGGGTATCAGATGTCGGTTAACATTGCTGGTCGGAAACATGAGAGATCTTTTAACCCATGTAAACCTTCAAATCCCACTAATTCAAGGTTTGAAGATCAACTGTATGCTTGACCATATATGGTACTGAGACCTCTCTCCACTGTCTGGCTTGATTTCACTGCGATCCCATATGTCTCGGCTGGTCGGATGAATGAGCAAATCTCTACTCACATTCACTGTACCGAAAAGGCTTCAGTGTGACACATGTGCTCTTTCAAGTCATTTAAATGCATAAAATTTCGCCCACAGTCCTGACACATATGTGGCTTGAATCCACTGTGATTCCTCAGATGGACCTGCACAGCACAAGAGTGTGTAAATGTTTTATCACACTGACTACACTGATAAGGTTTTATTCTACTTTGACTAATGTGGTTCTTCAAACTACGTGATTGTGTAAATTCTTTCCCACAATCGGTACACTGATATGGCTTGATTCCACTGTGAAACCTCATGTGTGCCTGCAAGGTGCATGCATGTGTGAAGTCTTTCCCACATGCACCACATTTAAAAGGCTTCACTACATTATGAATCTTCAGATGGGTCTGCAGGTGACTTGGAAGTTTAAATGCTTTCCCACATTCATCACACACATGAGGCTTGATTTTGATGTGACTTCCTGTGTGTTTATGCAAGTCAGATGAATGTGTAAATTCTTCCCCACACTCAACACACTGAAAAGGCTTCACCTCACTGTGACAAATGTGCTTTTTCAAGTCATTTAAGTTCACAAAAGATCCCCCACATTTCTTACACATATATGGCTTGACTCCACTGTGATTCTTCAGATGGATCTGCACGGCACATGTGTGTATAAATGTTTTCTCACACTGATTACACTGATAAGGTTTGATCCTTCTTTGATTCCTCATATGGTACTCCAAGCTGCTTGACTGTGTGAATCTTTTCCCACATTCAGTACACTCATATGGCTTGATGCCACTGTGAATCTTCAAGTGTCTGTTCAAGCTGCTTGTCTGTGCGAATCTTTTCCCACATTCACCACACTTTAAATTCTTAATTCCACTGTGATGACTCCAATGAGCTCGCAGTTCTTTCGATTGGACAAATGCTTCCTCACACTGACCACACTGATAAGGCTTGGTTACGCGGTGAGTCAAGACATGCTTTGCCAGGCTGTTTGCATGTCTAAACTTCTTCCCACATTCAGGACATTGACAAGGCTTGATTCCATTGTGCACCCTCATGTGTGTCTGCAGATCACCTGGTAGTATATATCTTTTATCACACACATTGCACGCATGAGGCTTGTTTACACTGTGGCTGTTCATGTGTGTCTTCAGGTGGCCAGGATGTGTAAATTCTTTCCCACATTCTGTACACTGATAGGGCTTGACTACTTCACTGTGAATCTTCAAATGGCTGTCCAGGAGAGCTAAGCTTGTAAATGTTTTCTCACAATCATTACACAGATAAGGCTCGACTCTGCTGTGACTCCTCAAGTGTTTCTTTAGGACAGATGATTGTGTAAATTCTTCCCCACATTCCCCACATTGGAAATTCTTCCTTTCACTGTGATGATTAGCATGAGCTTGCAACTCCTCCAACTGCACAAATGTTTCCTCGCACCGATCACACTGATAAGGCTTGGTTACACTGTGAGTCCACATGTGTCTCGTCAGGGTGTATGATTGCGTGAACTGTTTCCCACATTCAGTGCACTCATAAGGCTTGATTCCACTGTGTATCCTCATGTGTGCCTTCAAAGAACTTGACTGTGTGAACATCTTCTTACATTCACCACACTGAAATGGCTTGATTCCACTGTGAATTCTCATGTGTGCCTTCAGGGCACATGACTGTGCAAACATTCTCTTACACTCCCCACACTGATAGGGCTTGATTCCATTGTGAATCTTCATGTGTGCCCGCAGATCACCCGCTAGTTTATATCTTTTATCACACACACTACACTCATAAGGCTTGATTGTACTGTGACTGCTCATGTGTGTCTTCAGGTGACCAGACTGTTTAAATTCTTTCCCACATTCAGCACACTGGTAAGGCTTCACTCCACTATGAATCCTCAAATGAATTTTCAGGGCAGATACACATGTACATGTTTTCCCACATTCATTACAAGTATATGATTGCTTTGCTGGAACCTCACAACCTTTGCTTTTCTTGACATCACCTGTTTCCATCACACCTTTCTCACAGTCAGTGTTTGCACCTGAGAAAGAAACAGGTTCTTGTTTCAGGTCATCTATTTCCAGCACTTCTCTCTCACAGTCAGTGTTTGCACCTATATCAGTAACAGGTTCTTGTTTCAGGTCCCCTATGTCCAGCAATTCTCTCTCACAGTCAGTGTTTGCACCTATATCAGTAACAGGTTCTTGTTTCAGGTCATCTATTTCCAGCACTTCTCTCTCACAGTCAGTGTCTGTTCCTATATCAGTAACAGGTTCTTGTTTCAGGTCATCTATGTCCTGTAATGCACTCTCACAGTCAGTGTTTGCACCTATATCAGTAACAGGTTCTTGTTTCAGGTCATCTATTTCCAGTAATGCTCTCTCACAGTCAGTGTTTCCACCTGTGTCAGTAATGGGTTCTTGTTTCAGGTCACTTATGTCCAGCATTTTTCTTTCACAGTAAGTGTTTGCACCTATATCAGCAACGGGTTCTTGTTTTTTCAGGTCACTTATGTCCAGCATTTTTCTTTCATAGTAAGTGTTTGCACCTATATCAGCAACGGGTTCTTGTTTGAGATCATCTATTTCCAGTAATGCTCTCGCACAGTCAGTGTTTGCACCAATATCAGTAACAGGTTCTTGTTTCAGGTCATCTATTTCTAGTAATGTTCTCTCACAGACAGTTTTTCTACCTGTTTCAACAACAGGCTCTTTTCCAAGACTAGCTATTTCTGGCAATATTCCTTCATAGTCAGTGTTTCCACTTTTGTCAGTCACAGGTTCTATCTTGAGATCACTTGTTTCTAAAGCTCTTTCACAGTCAAAATTGCCACCCCTGTTAGTAAGAGGTTCTTGTTTCAGGTCATCTATGTCCAGCATTTCTCTCTCACAGTCAGTGTTTGCACCTGTGTCAGTAACAGGTTCTTGTTTCAGGTCATTTGTTTTCAGTAATGTTCTCTCACAGTCACTGTTTGCACCTACATCAGGAACGGGTTCTTGTTTCAGGTCACCTACGTCCACTAATGCTCTCTCACAGTCAGTGTTTCCATCTGTGTCAGTAACACCTTGTTTGAGATCACTTGTTTCTAATACTCTCTCATAGTCAAAATAGCCACCAGTGTCCGTAACAGGTTCTTTCTTCAGATCACCTAAATCTGGCAATGCTCTCTCACAGTCCATGATTACATTTGTTTTAGTGACACAGTCAATATTCTATGGTTCTCATTGTATCTCCATCACTTACTTGGATAATGTGTTGGTCACTGAAAACAGGAAAGAGTTGTTACTTTACTTTATCCTGTTCATGTATTAAATAAAGATGATTCAACAAGCATCCCCCAAGAACAACTGGGGCAGGAACAGAATATAATGTCACATGCTGAATTTTTGCAATCAGATCTGCAAAAGTACCAAGCTCAGTTCTGTCAAGACATTGGATTTTCAAATCCAACATGACAAACGTCAACTTTCCAATACATGTAGTCTACTTTCCCTATATATCGGCTTTAGTGTGTTCATGTTCAAATCCCACATGACTTTCCAATACATGTAATCTACTTTCCCTATATATCAGCAGCTTCAGGCTTAAGTGTGTTTATTTCTAACTGAGGTACAATTATGCATCATCTTTCTTTTCTGAGTGAGTGAGTTTAGTTTTACGCCACACTCAGCAATATTCCTGTTATATGGGGGCGGTCTGTAAATAATCGAGTCTGGACCAGACAATCCAGTGATCAACAGCATGGGCATCGACCTGCGCAATTGGGAAACGATATATCTTTCTATGAAGATTTCAAACAGTGTAATATGACTATAACACAAATGTGTTTTGAAGGTTACAGTAAAGTTTTTACAATAACTTTATGTTACGTATGTGGAGAGCATTTCCAAATATCATGCATCAATGACAAAAATGCTATTCCATATTGTCACTTGTACCATGTTTCCATGTCTTCTCAGGTCAACAGTTGACTTGTCTTTGCATGTGTTTGAGATATGGGTAAGACTACAGAATACCAGGTACCTTCCATTATCTTTGAAAGCAGGCAAGTTTACTTTTGGTTAGGGTTAGGGTTAGGGTCAGGGTTAGGGTCAGGGTTAGCGTTAGGGTTAGTGTGACGTGACACGCTAATCAATATGACTGGTAGGTATCTGGTATTCTGTAGGTGTACTGAGATATATGTCACCTTAAGCTCACCTATCACATATGGTGGTGGAGTGGCCTAGTGGTTAAAGCGTTCGCTTGTCACACCGAAGACCCGGGTTCGATTTAGCACATGGGTACAGTGTGAGAAGCATATTTTTGGTGCCCCCTGCTGGGATATTGCTAAAGGTGGCGTGAAACTAAACTCACTCACTCATTTATCCTAAACAATTTGTTATTGTAATTCATGAACACACTCACATGATACAGCTGTATATGTACAATGAACTATGCTACTATCTCCCCCAGAACAGGTTTTACGACTTCACATTTATCCCACTAACAATGTTTGTTTCCTAAATAAATATGTCCACGGTAGTTTGACCCAAAACTATCTGAACTATCTACCACTGGCACCAACGGATGTGTCGAAATGTGTTTCAATTGGATATAATCTGCCCTAGAGCTAAGTTAAGGTCTAACCCTAAACCTTACACTGACTGACTGACTGACTGAGTTTAGTTTTACGCCGCTTTTAGCAATTTTCCAGCAATATCACGGCGGGGGACACCAGAAATGGGCTTAACACATTGTGCCCATGTGGGGAATCGAACCCGGGTCTTCGGCGTGACGAGCCAACGCTTTAACCACTAGGCTACACCCTAAACCTTACAGATCAAATGGTTGTTTGCCTCTAAAGAAGTGTGGGTTCTCTAAGGAAAAGTGTACCTGATCCTAAACGTAACCCTTAGGATCGAAAAGCGTTGTTTACACCGTAAAGATGTGCCAGCTCAGGATCGTTTGCCTCCGAAGAAGTGTCACTGGAGAGCACTGGATAGTGGGGCAAGCAGCGATATAGCGAGGCAGTGGGCGCGCTATAGGCTGCGCCCGGTAAACCGTCACCAACTGTCCAAATTCACCCACAAACGATCGAGACACAACCCATTTAGCCCTCCGAAGTCATTTGTGATCTATTCTGCAGGTGTTACTTACACTCAAGTGACGCCCTAGTGCACACACACACCTTCACATACATACTTACACACTTGAGTCAAGCCTAGAAAGGGTAGTTTCCTGTGTTGACAACAAATACACTGACAACATGGGAAACGGCATTGTACCAAACGGTTAGTGCACAAATATTAAAACGGACTCAGTATGCGGAGAATGGTGACGACTAAACATCACCTAATTTTTAACAGGTTTGGGGAACATTTGTGGGTGGGAACCACCTTTTCATATTCTGGACACTGATGCCGGAGTGCAGTTCGATGCAATGCCATTACACGAATTATCTTATGGACTGATGCCTTCATTTGAATCTCTTTTTCTCACAGGAAGAGGACATTCATGCATTTAATGGTTTCATGCATTCGTGGTTTGGTAGACTGAACGCTTTAACCACTAGGCTACCCCCACCGCCCCTCCTGGATGTCTGCTGACTCTGGGTGAGTTATATATGAGAATATGTACAAATGTTTTGAAAATAAGCATACGTATTGTCCAGAAAGAGTGGGCATAGTCTACATGTGAGGCCCCATGATGAAATAATATATCTATTAAGCATGTATTTTCTATATATATCAGCGTATGCTCATACTGGTTTTAGGAAAGGACTGTTTAAGCATGACGTACGTACGAAAGTACTGTCGGAAATAGAAAAGAAAACTGTGTTTAGGCTATTACTCTGTATCCCTAATATTTACACAATTGCGAAATAACGCACATCCATGGGCCTAACTGGGCATTCAGTGGGATGCGTAATAGGATATTCAGAAAAGCGTGTTTACTCGTAAAATCGCGCAAAGCTTCCTTGGTTTAATTCGCCTAAAGGATTATCTTATCTCAGCTGATATCTCTGTCCCCTAGCCCGACCCCAACCAATGTCTGCGACACCCGTCTTGGTTTTGCTTTTGAGACGACCCCTTCTACCTGTTTCTTTTTATAGTGACAGTGAGACTCCATGGTAGCTACATCCTTATAGTTTCGGTATTAAAGTTATTAGTTTTTACGTCAGCTATCGTTTATAATGAAGGTAAGTTTCATTTCAAAATGAACTTTGAAAAAGTGTTCTTTGTAATACAATATCATAGCACGCTAAATTGCATAAAGCCATGGTCTGTTCCAAATAAGTCACTTTGGATATAGAAAAAAGCGCTTTGTTCATTTTTGCACTATATCTCTCTTCAGTAAAGTCCCTTTTCTACGTTTCCTATCTCCCTACCACTAAGACTGCAGTTAGGCCGAACTTAGTTTAACAGATATTTCACACTTTCACATATCAACTACATAAATTGTAGATATAAATGAGAAAAAAAAAGGTTGATTTTTTCTATTTCCGACAGTACTTTACTGTATTTATTAATTATAATTAATATTTGGAACAATATACATATTGAAAGTTGTTTTAGAAACTCACGGCTGTTGTCGAACAGTATGGATGATATCCCCATGTGTGACGCACTAGTGATCAATTTGATGCCATTTTCTACTTTGCTTTGGTACATGTGTTCCTGTGCTGTTGCTGTTTGTTTTTCATAAATATGCAATTGTCTTGCCTTTGCATGTGTTTGTGACGTGAACCACTGGTGGGAAGGATACACTCGCCTTTTTGCGACCACCTGATATCAGCGCTATTTGATAGTGATACACATGCTCAAGCACTTTGCCCTTGGTAAGGGTTTCTTGTGGACGTCTTTCTCACTACAGCAAGCCTGTACAGACCTCTGTTCGTAATTATCCTGAAATGTCATTTTGGGGGGGGCATTTTAATCATCTTAAAGGGCTTGGAATGGAGATTTCAAAATCCATATTGTATTATGAAGCTTTCATTCATTTCGATTTAATTAGGAGACGAAATTGAAAGAGGTACGAATTTGTTGGCTCCGTTTCACGTTTTTACCGAGCTGTAAATCATTTAACAGAGATGACACATTGCTCTTTCATTTCAGATTCAATGCATTGCTGATGTTAAGTTTTCTGAGTGCAGACAGTGAAGCCAAAACTTGTATGTAAGGTAGAGGAACCACGATCCTGGAACCACAACAGGAAGTAATGGTGTTGCATGCTGGGGACACATTCAACAAGTCCTTAAATGTTGACTGACTGACTGAGTATGGTTTTACGCCGTTTTTAGCAATATTCCAGCAATATCACGGCGGGGGACACCAGAAATGGGCTTCACAAATTGTACCCATGTGGGGAATCGAACCCGGGCCTTCGGCGTGACGAGCCAACGCTTTAACCACTAGGCTACCCCACCGCCCCCCTTAAATGTTGACACAGAGTTGACACAGAAAGTTGTCGAAAAGAGCCTCAATGATGTATTAGGATACACTCACAGATTCATAATTACTAATTTCCTTCAAAACATTAATGATGTGTAGTGGTTAAAAAGACACTTTCAACTACATCATAATTATACTTGATAATTTCTGGTTACATAAATGAGTGAGTTAGACAATCCAGTGATCAACAGCATGAGCATCAATCTCCGCAATTGGGGACCGATGACATGTGTCAATTATGTCAGCGAGCCTGACCACCCAACCCCGTTAGTCGCCTTTTACGGGCTACTGAAGACCAGTTCTAACCCGGAGTGAGTGAATATGGTTTTACGCCGCTTTTAGCAATATTCAAATATTCAAATATACAGCGCTTCTTTCTAAAAGATATTGTTCAAACAAGCCCACGGGGTCCCAAAGCAGGCAGCATCAGTATCGCCCTTTGCATGCCTTGTTTTGGCCCTTCAGAGTGAGTGCGTGAGTGAGTTGAGTTTTAGCAATATTCCAGCAATATCACGGCGGGAGACACCAGAAATGGGCTTCACACATTGTACTCATGTGGGGAATCGAACCCGGGTCTTCGGCGTGACGAGCGACCACTAGGCTACCCCACCGCCCTCTAACCCGGATCTTCACGAGTCTCTGAAAATATATATACCGTTCATTGTATATCTGTATCTATGGTGTTTACGCTTGTCAAATAATTAGCGTCGTGTGTGATCCGGCTTAGTCCTAACCAACACCTGGATTGACGAACACGGGTCATCGGCGTAACGAGCGAACGCTTTCACCACTAGGCTACCCCATAACCCCTGTAAACAGCAGAATCTCTCAAGTTGTTGGAATATTGATTTTAGTTTCAACAGAAATAGTTAACACACTATGTGGTGTTATCACAGGACTGCATGGTCAATACTCCGACTTTTAACACGCTGTTTGTAGGCTGGTTTGTTGTTTAACGCATCACTCAGCAATATTCCAGCTATATGGCGGC